CAGTGATAGTACACTTGTAAATTTGGATGAACCTTACAGCTATTGGGAAACCATGGCAGGCCCTGAGTCTGATAAATGGAAAGAGGCAATAGGAAGCGAGATTCGGTCAATGTATAACAATCAAGTTTGGAATTTGGTTGACAACGTACCAGGTCATAAGACATTCGGGTGCAAATGGATCTTCAAGAAGAAGACCAACATGGATGGGAAAGTGCATATTTATAAGGCGTGACTGGTCGCGAAGGGCTTCACTCAAACTCAGGGAGTTGATTATGATGAAACCTTCTCACAAGTAGAAAATATTAAGTCTATTAGGGTTATGCTAGCCATTGTTACATTTCATGATGATGAAATATGGCAAATGAATGTCAAAACCACTTTCCTTAATGGAAAGTTGGCTGAGGATGTTTACATGAGTCAGCCAGAAGGTTTTGTCAGTGTTGAGTACTGTGATAGAGTGTGCAAGCTTGAGAAGTCCATTTATGGATTGAAATAAGAATCTTGCAGCTAGAATCTTTGTTTTGATGAGAAATTCAAAGAGTTTGGCTTTTCGATAACTGAAGATGAGTCATGTGTATATGTCAGAGCTAGTGGGAATATAGATAGCTTTTTGGTACTCTATGTGGATGACATACTACTCATGGAAAATGACACCCCAACTTTGCAGGAGGTGAAGTACTGGCTTGGGAAGTGTTTCGCTATGAAGGACTTTGGAGAAGCTGCCTATATCCTAGGGATAAGGATATTGAGAGAATGAAGTAAAAGACTAATTCCACTTAGTTAAAGAGCCTATGTGGAAAAAATGTTGAAAAGGTTCAACATGCAGAATTTCAAGAAAGGTGATTTACCGATCCAGCATAATGCCAAACTAAGCAAGGCTCAGAGCCCATGTAAAGAGGTTGAGATAGTTGAGATGATTCAATTACCATATGCTTCCGCTGTTAACTCAATCATGTATGCTATGACTTGTACTTTCCCTGATGTGGCCTTTGCTTTGAGCATGGTAAGCAGATATCAAGGGAACCCTGGCAAGGCTCACTGGACTGTGGTAAAGAACATTCTCAAGTACCTACAAAAGACTAAGGATTGGACTCTTACCCTTGGTGGGAGTGATGAATTAAGAGTAGTGGGGTATAGTGATGCTAGCATCAAGACTGATAGGGATAATTTCCACTCTCATTTGGGTTGGGTCTTTACCATGAATGGAGGAGCGATTACTTGGAAAAGTTCCAAACAGGAGACACTAGCTAATTCAACGTGTGAATCAGAGTACATAGCAGTGAGTGAAGTGGCGAAGAAGGATATATGGCTGAGGAACTTCATTGGAGACCTTGGAGTTGTACCAGCTATAAATGAGCCTATGGAGATTTTCTGTGACATCAATAGTGTGGTTGCCTTAGACAAGGAACCTACAGATCATGGTAGATCCAGACACATTGACAGAAAAAATCACTTCATAACACATAAGATAGAAGAAGGACTTCACGTGGCAAAGTGGATATTGTCATAAGACAACCCAACAAATCCCCTCACGAAGGGACTGACTAAGGTTAGGCATTTGTAGCATGCGAGGCACATCGGGTTGAAGGATGATATTATTTTTACAGATTAGATAGATATTTTTGAAAATTGTGAAATATAATTGACATTTGATGATTAAATAAAGGTTGTTGTTTATTCATAAGTAAGGTGATGCTATCTGGTGTCAAAATTATCTACTATTGTTTCAATTTTTCATGTTTTGACTTCCAGAATAATTACTTTATTCAAATTCTCCACAGTCAGTCATATGTTGGAAGTAGGTATGAATCAAGACTTTCATGAATTGGGCTTGTAGATGTCTAAGGTGTTAGACATAGAAAAAGTTGCTACAACATTCATGAGTGCTCATAAGTTCTGAGTATTGGATTAAACCCACACTCACTTGAATCACTTCATAGAATTTATATCGAGTGATCGTGAGATGGTAATATCAAATAAGTCTTCAAACCTAGAGATACGGGTTGTTGCCTATGAGCTGGTTGTGCATTAATTGTATGAAAACGCATCAGTAACTTCATGTCATAAAACATGCCTTTGTGTATGATTCAACAAGTAGTAGAACAAGCATATGAGTCGAAGTTTATCTATTCCTTTTAGTCCTTGAAGGATTAAAAGAGACATCTATTGGATTAGTATCTAAGTCCGTAACTATATTTGGTATGTACTTGACCCGATTGTGCATGGTCCTTTTGGGTTGCCTTCACGAAAACAATTTGACAAGGTAATTTGAGGAGAGAGAGAGAGAGGATATTATGTTCTATTAATATATTATATATATATATCAAAGGAGATATCATATTTATTTAATTCTTATTGGTCATAAATTAATTAGGAATTAATTTGGTGACTAAAAGAGATTAGTTAAATAAAGAGGCATAAACTATCAAATGTGTGATAGTTGAGTTTTGGGCTGGGAAACCTAACGGACTAAGGGAGAATGAAATTATGAAGAAAGATCATCATATTTTTCGTCCAAGGGCGTTATTCCAGAAGGTTCCTTGGGCTGCTTGGTGGCTAAGTTGTCCATTAGGGTTTAGACTGAAACCCAAGGCTCCAATTTTCCACCACTTGCTTCCAAGAGAAACCCTAGGGCCGAAAATTAGAATCCTCCCTCCTCTCTCAAAGTTTCCTTCTTGCTTGTGGTGTTTGTGATCCACTAGAGGAGTTACAATTGTGACTCTAAGCTCAAGAGAAGAAGATTCAAGCCACTTTTTGAATTGGTAAACATCTTGATCTGATGTAATTAGCTAATTTCGAAATTATGTATGCTAGATTAGGGTTTGAAAGTCTTGGATTCATTGCATGTACAATAGAGAAACCTAGATCCAAGCATTAGGGTTTGTATGAGCACATAGGATTGTTCATATGCTTAAAACCCATCAGTGGTATCAGAGCCTTGATTCCTTTCTATGGTATGTGTTGTTATGATTAATTATCTGCTGAAAAACATCTACTGACCCTTTGTTCGAATTGACTCGGCGAGTCAATTCATGGACTCGGTGAGTCAACCCAACTCGGCGAGTCCAGTGAGTGACTCGGCGAGTCGAAGCGTCAGACAGAGGGATTTTCAGATTTTCTTGCTATTTTGCTGAAGTATAATTGCCTTATATGTTTTTAACTGATAATATTTGATTTTTATTGTTATTGAAATATTATCCTTACCAAAACACAAGATAATTACCAATTGATTAGATAATAAATTCCTTCTATGATTAAAATTGATTATTTGAATTAATTGGGTAACTTATCTTGCAAGAAATTGAATTAGGTCAAATATAGATAATCACTAAATTTATTGTTTGATTTATATTATTTGTTATTTGATCCCTTGTGTTTTGAAAAGTTCAAAAATCGCCCTCAAGTTTTGAAATTTAAATTCTTTGATTAAAAGTTTAATTATTCAAAAGTTTTAAATTTCAACCCTTAGATTTTACAAGTTTAAAATCAACCTTATACTTTATTTATTATAAGATTTATATATATATATATATATATATATATATATATATATATATATATATATATATATTTGTATAAGAATAAGCTAGTCTTATCGATAGTAGGTGTCATTCACGAAGTCGATCTATAAAGTGGGTATAAGGTTGTTGCCTTTAAAATGGCGCTTAATGGGTGTACACTCACACCCACCGCTTGCTTGATTGGTGGAGGGCCGTTAGCCAAACGGATTGGATAGGGCATTTAATACCTCATTATAAGTATAATGAAAATTGGAAAGTAACTAACATGTTGTTACAAATTCCCAATCATAGTACTTTAGGGTAAAATGTGAAAATGATGCTATTCCATGGAATTACACTTTATACCATTATCAAACGTTAGTGAAGCGTGCGTGGTTAACTGGGACACTAATTTGGGTTTGAAATTGGTGGAAAAGGGTGGCTCAATGTTTGTCATAGATCAATGGAGCGTGTATGGCTAACCGGCACATTGATTAGGTGATAGAGACATTGAGTGCACCATGTTGATTCGCATGGTTATTCACAACTTGTTTGCGATCCTCAGCATCCCAGTCGCAAATTTGAAGTGCATATTGAGATTTAAACATGCCATTGAAAATTTAAATGATTCTCAAAGATCTAGGAGTTTCCAAATACATTTAAAACTTAATCTCTTTTATGTTTTTCATGGTGAAAATTTGTGAATCGTCATTCACTTACCCTCAAATTATTTACGTTTAGAGTATGGCATCCCTTTCTAAGTTGTAAATAATGTTGTTGGATCCTAACCCTAATTTATCATTTGGGTGTTTAATTGGGGATTCAATTCTAATTAAACTTTATTCGTTTCTATTTTCAGATGTCTAACGCAAATGCAAAACAACACTGCTCTTGGTTCATTCTCGTTAATGAGCCTATGTCTAAAGGTGACACTACTAGAAAAACAGCCTTTTACGATGCTCATTGCGCGTCATAAAGGCTCAGACGACGCGCAAATGCGCATCAAGGAAGGCCCTGTCATAAAGAGAGACGGTGCGCTTTTGCGTGTCGTCTATAGACGACGCGCATTTACGACGCTCATTTACGACGCGCAATTACGACGCACGTTTACGACACGCAATGCGTGTCAAGGAAGGCCCTGTCATAAAGGAAGACGACGCACATTCGCGTGTCGTGACCTTACAACGCGCGTGTTAATGACACGCAATGCGTATCAAGAAAGCCCCTGTCAAGAAAGGCCATGTCATAAATTAAGATGACACACATTTTTGCGTATCATAAATTTAAATGTTTAAAAAAATATATATATATATATATATATATATATATATATATATTTATTAATTTTTAAATTAAATTTGCATTTAATTTCTCCTAATAGAAATAAAATACCATATACAAAAAATACAATCCATTGCATAATATAAAATAAAATTTCATACTCCAAAAATAAAATAAATTGCACAAAGTATAATGTCATACAAAGAATCATTCAAATGTTAAACAAAAATAATACATTGCTAACATGGGTTATACATTCCTATAAAACTAACAAATAATCATACAACTCTATTTCTTACTGGAAAGGAATGCCAAACATGATTACAAGTCTCCCTTAATCTTGATTACTCACCTGCTTAAGTAGAATGTTGTTGTTGAGAAGGTTACCTAGCAACAGAGAAAAACACAACACCTCTCCCACAATCACAACATCATTTACAGAAATAGGGTTATCAATTACTTTCATTAAGACTTTCATTCAATCACAAAAATATTAAATAAAAGGGTGAAAAAAATAACTTACTTTTGATAAGTTTATCTCCCTTAGAGCAAACACAGCTAAAGCATTGAACAAGACCCTATTTCAAAATTTTATAAATACATAAATCATGATATCTGATACTGGAATACACACTTTGAGACATGAATTAATACGAGTAGATTAACCTGGATACATAGGAAGTAAAGATGGAAGGTGCCAGAACTCCGGGGGCATTGGGTTGGGTCCTTCCCACTCGCACACACCAAGCCAGAACTCCACTTAATCCAGCACCAAAATAAGCCTGCATTCAGAAAGCTGCAGGGGTGAGTCACAATTCAAGAATCTGTTAAAATTTGAGGAATAACAAGTTCAACCAAAACAATATTAGAAAACAGTGTTAAATGTGAATCATAACAATGTAATAATTATCAAGGTACTGGAATACTTGAAATCTAGATTATTTACCTTTTGATTGTAAATCTAAAGATTCCTCATGCACAGATTATGTTCTTTTCAACTCTTGCAGAGTGGTAAATTTCAATTTAGCTGGTTTGTCTGTTCTTTTCACCTGATCTTTTCATCTCTAGGCATCGTATCTATTTATTCGTTGCAGACTAGTGAGCTTCCATCATTATGTTCTTGAAATCTTGATTGTTAAACTTCTAATTTTGAATCTGAGTTTTTATTACAATGTTACTATTATAGCACTTACTTAATGCACACATATTTACTATGATTAGGTTCTTGTCAACTCATACATGATGTTAAATTGCAACTGAGATATCCATTAAATCCACGTAAAATGACTATTTTGCCCAAATTTTTGTATTTTTACTAATTCTTTTGTACATTAACTCACAACAATGAACTTTGAATCAAATGATCCAGACTTCCATTTTACTTCTCATGAACTGTATCGTATTTTTATTAGGAATCAAGTTTATTGATGTTAAATAAACTCTCTTAACATTTCTTTCCTATCTTGTAGTTGTTACTAGTTTGCTTTATAACATTAAAGGTAAATTAAGATGGTTATCTCCTGACATTGATGATAAAATAAACTTCTTAATTCCAGGTTCAAGTATTCCAGCACTTTGCTTTATAACATTAAATGGTAAAGTAAGAAATAACCTTTATGTTGTTCGAGGAAAACAATATTTGCCTCCATCCGAGATTTGTCATGCAATTGACTACAAAAGAGAATACCCATAATTTATTTCACAATACATAAAAAATAAAAAGATTTAACGCTCTAAAAGGTAATTAAAAAATCCATTTAACAACCTGATAGTAGGTCGCTTTGCTTCAAGGACACCGGAAATCAGTTTTTTACCACCAGTGACAGGAGCTAGCCTTGATGCCATTTTATGGAAGAATCTTATCTGTACAAAGAATAATATATGATTTTTTATTGAGAAATAAATTTTTTTTTACAAAAAATACAACTATCAGATTAATTAATTTGCTTGTTGGGATACCAAGCATCGGTGAGAGTCCGGGTTTCCAGCATCCAATCGGTGTAGTTGCTTTAGGGCCCTTTTACTTTTAATTAATAAAATATTAAAACAAATATGAAAAAACGTAAAAAAAAAAAAAAAAAGAAATTAAAAGGGCAAAACAGTCATTTTAAATCTTTCAGGGACCAAAACCAATTTTGTAGTTTTGTCAACAAAAGAATAGTAATTTTTATCATTTAAAACTTCAATTCATAAACACTTAACCACTATTCAGCATCACTTCTAGGTAGAAGGGTAAAATGGTCGTTTACTCAATAAATAACCAGTCTATATGTTCATTTATCACTTTCAAGAGACAGATATCATTTATCCATCTAGAAATTTAACATAAAAAAATTAAAAAATTAAAAAAAAAAAAAAAGGAAGAAAGCTCTTACCTGTTATGCAAAGGACCATACCATTAATCAACAACCATCCCTCATGGCCATTCCTTGAGAAGAATTGATAGATGTAATGTGGTGATATTGCCTTGAAAATAGAAGGGTAATGATATATGATATTGTAAATTTCAATAAGAGGAGTAGTCAATGTCCATGCACCCATGATAGGTGAGAAGAAAAAGCTCACTCTTGTAATTCCAAATTATTGAACCAAAAACAAAACAACAAGAACTAATGCAGACAGGCTTCCACCAGAGCTGAAAAGTAAAAAAAAAAAAAAAAAAAAAAAAAAAAAAAAAAAAAAAAAAAAACATAAAAAAAATATGACAAGATCTTTATAAATGTAGTTGAATAAACAAAAATCAGAGGAATGATGCACAATATCACACTATAATTCCATTATTTATATAAAGCAAAGTCAGTCTAAGGCTTTTCAAAGCAAAATTAATGTTGCACTTATAAACATGAAGCACTCAATACTTGGTTTAGTGATGACATTATTGGAAAAAGAAGTACCTGAGCCTCCACTTGTTTGACCTGCATCCCATCTGTATGCAAAAAGCTAAACTTTATTCATATTCAACACAAACTATAATTCCATGTAAAAAGAATTCATTTAATTATGTGACAATCTGGCTTCAAGATGTTTTTGAGCAACAAAAGTTTGACCTAATTTACCTGGTGATTGGTTCCTCACGAAGTAGGTAGGAAAGAGATTGATACAATTTCTTGAGTATGACCAAAGACACACACTAAAAACATACACTTAAGGGATAATGCATGCCCTGAATCTACATAACAAATTAGTGTAAATGTTGTATGTGAAAAGGGGTTTTCTTAACCATTTCATAAGGGATTACTCAGTTATCATCTTAAGATTATGAGTTTTATTAAAATTTAAAAATAGTTATAGATTAGATGGTCTAACCTTTTCAAAGACACAAATGATTGTGCTTCCACCAAATGAGAAATATCCAAACTGTATATACATAAATAAATAGGAAGACGTGTGAATCTGAATCAGAAAGTGAACTAGGGTAGAAATGGAAATTTACATATATAGTTAAATAAAATATCGATATTCATTCACTTAATACAAACTGGGAGGAGCATCTTCTGCACAAAAAGAGCAAAGATGAGCCTCGCTTGTAATAAGTGAAGCAAAATGGTGTGTTACATGAAACGTACCTTGTTTTTTGCCAGCTACAAGGTAAAAAGACGAATTTGCCCCCACTAGCATAATGAAAAACTCCTGTATTGTATATACAATTTCGGCTTTTGTGAGTCCTATTTATTTAATTGCTGAATATGTAGCCGAAACCGCTGAAGCCTCGGCAATCAAAGCTGCGGGTAGTCGAGCCTGAAGGCAAGCACCAATGTCGAATGGACGCAATTCAGATCCATCGAATAGGAGATTGACACCTGGCAAGACAGTTTCTCCATTGTCCTTATCATCTGGGTCACCCTTTTCTTCTCAGCCTATCCAATCCCGTCTTCTCCCCAAATCACTCGAAACCGTAACCCCTAATTCACTTATTCAACAGTGGGACTAATTTTGTATTTACGGGAAAATAGAGAGGAAGAAGATTAATACGAAAGTAAAATAAGCGCAATGTTGGGCCCCATTTCATCTGTTTGTATTTGTGGTTCACCATCTTCAGATATGAATCCCATTTCAACTGTTGTTGTCATAGAAACAAATCATTAAAAACATCAACAAAGATATATGAAATATTATAAAACCAATTGAATTCTTCTGGAATTAGGGTACTAATATTCTGATCATATGAAAATAGTTCATCAATTTGACCAAATCAAGGTAGCCTCAATTTCGTGCTTCATATTTCATAAACCATCTCAGTAAGAAGAAAGTGATAATATTCAATTAAAAATGAAACAAGAACCAAAAAAAGTTAAAAACAAAGAATGAAAGGGAGACGAAGGAGACAGTCCCAAATCTATTAGATATAAACAGTTCTTTTTTTGTTGATTGGTTTAATTGAGGCAATCCATCAAACACTTGGTATGCATTTTGAATAAAGAGAAACCATGAGACAGCTATTTTCACTTACATACTTCCAACTTACAACCCACTCCATCAATAACAATCATGTTAGAATTCTTCATTGATGTTACATATGTTTAGGTTTGATTATGAATAGGATCACAGATGAATCAGTTTACCTGAGCTTTGTTGAGAAACTGTCTCTAATTGGGGACCATTGATGCCTGATCCTTGTTTGTCTTGATCCACATTCTCGCTTCCATGCTGTAAATCATCTATCTTCTAGACTATGGTCTCGTCAGATTCATCATTTTCTAGGTAAACAATTCCATCTCCTTCTCCTTGCTTCCCTTTACCAACATCCTCACTTACTAGCGGTAAATCCTCTGTGACCTTATCTCCACCTGCGTCTGGTTCACCGCCCTAATTTATCGCGTTGTTCACATCACCTACTACATAATTCTCCAACACGACTTCCACCTTGATCATTGATTCGGAAGAAACAGCAGGAGATGTAGTTGATACGCCATCAATTTTATTAGATTTTTTGCACCTTATAGCCGTCTTCAGAGGAGGCATGTCTGATTTGTATATGACCCAACTTCAATGACTTGTTTGACGGGATGAGGGTTAGGGTTCTTGTAGCTATTAAAGGGGATTAAAGTACCGATCGATCAACACACACACACACACACACAGAGATAAAGGAGGCATGTCTGATTTGGTAACTTTTTTGAAGATGACTATTGTTTAGGGCTATCAGTAGCACCGTCGACTCTGCTACCACACTGTAATAAACAAATCGCCTTAGAAGGCCCTTCATCATCTTGCACTGCCCTTACTTCCTCCAGTGACAATTTCAAACTCGACAGGGAAAGGCAATTAGTCGACTCAGCTCGCTGATGATGAAGGTTGCCGATGAGGAATGGAAATCGTTTTGAATTATAGGGTTTGTAAACGTGGGGAGTCGTTGAAGATGAAGTAGGGTAGAGGTGAAGAGGAGTGAGCGGGGTACTTCAAAATTTTGGGGGATTTTCCCCCTTTAGCTATTATATTAATGAAGGATCAGACTCTCATTCTTACAACACAGAATGAAGCCATCATAAAACCATGTTTCTGGTGGTGGCGGCTGCTAGGTTTTACAGAGAGAAGGAGGGGAGAAAATGAAGGTCATCGGCAAGTGGAGAGGAATGAATGAGCGGGTCCTCCAAAATTTTGGGGATTTTTGTCGATCGATCGTTTCCCGCCTAAAAGGCGTGTTTCATTAAAAATTTATAAAACGACATACTTACATGATGAACATTTTATAAAAGGTGCCCTCCGCATTTCCTTTTTTTTTCTTTTCTAACACTAATTTTAGGGCACGCACAAATGCGTGTCTTCTATCCTTCAAATTTTGCAAAACTGACACTATTTTTTAGGGCACCCACATATGCGTGCCCTCTATCGGCGAGTGTCATTGTTTGCGCGTCATTAAAGGCCAGTTTTCTAGTAGTGTGACATTTGATGGATCAAATTTCAACGAATGGATGAGATACATTCGCATGATTGCTCATTACAAGGACAAAGAATATGTCCTCGATGAAAAGCTTGAAAAGATCAATCCATAAGATATTATTCCCAAAGAATTTGTCATCTTTGAGGCCCACGAGCGTGATGCAACGAAAGTTCATTGCATTATGATGTCCACTATGAATCTTGAACTCCAAAAGTCCTATGAGAACATGTATCCATATGAAATGCATCAAGATTTTCTAGAGAGGTACCACCAAAGCACAAGTCAAGAGCGCTATGAGATCATCACCAACATGATCACCGCAAAGATAGGGAGTGGAGAGTCCCTAACCTCGCATTTGCAGAAGATGCAGAGGTATGTTGATCATCTTCGCAAGTTCAATTTTTTCTTTTGGGGAAGATTTGGTTGTTGACATCATTCTCCACTCCTTGCCCTCAAGCTACAACCAATTCAGGATGACCTATCATATGAATAAAGAAGATGTCACCTTGATCAAACTTTAAGGGCTCCTAAGGACTGCTAAGAGCAACCTCAAGGACAAATCTGTTGCATCATCCTCTATTGTGGTTGCTCCTGTGTTGGAAATCGGTCAAGGAAAGGGTAAAAAGAGGAACGCTCCATGTAAGAACCACCAAAAGGGTAAGCCCCATGATGATTCCTCTTCTAGTCGAACCAAAGTTGGTTCTATTTAACCCTCTTCAGACCCCAAAGAAGCAGAGTGCTACTACTTCCACAAAAAGGGCCACTGGAAACGAAGCTGCCCTAAGTATCTGCAAAACATAAAGGATGGGAAGATAAATCCCACCTTTGCAGGTATGTATTCTATTAAATCTAACAAGTCATCATTTGATACTTCATGGGTTCTTGATACAGGATGTGGTTTCCACATTTGTTCTGATTTACAGGGCCTAAAAAGAATTAGAGAGGTGGAACCCTGGAAGATAAACTTGATTATGGGAAATAGAAGATCGTCGCCTGTGACCAGAGTTGGAGTTTATTCTTTAGTGTTGAGTAATGGGTTAGGGTTAGATTTAAATAATTGTTGCTATTCGCCAGATATGGCAAGAAACATCATTTCATTTCATGGATTGTTTAGACAAGGTTTCAGATACTTAATTGATAATAGTAATGATTCTATTAATGTTTATTTGAATGGTGTCTTTTATTTCAATGCATTACCTTGTAATGGGATTTATGAATCGGTGTTGGTTGTTGATAATTTAGGAAATGATGTGTTGAATATTGATTCATCTAATAATCTAGACAAAGCATGCTTGTGGCATTGTCTCCTTAGCCATGTCAACAAGAAACGCATAGCCCAACTCCAAAAGGATGGAGTGTTGGAGTTATTCGACCCAAGGGACGATGATGTGTGTGAATCTTGTTTACTTAGGAAGATGACCAAGTCACCCTTTACTGGCACTTGTGATAGGGGTGAGAGTCTATTGGATCTCATACACATTGATGTGTGTGGGACCTTTAGATCCACCACAAGGGATGTTTGCTGCTTCTACGTGGTTTTTACAGATGATTATAGCAGATATGGATATATCTACTTAATCAAGCATAAGTCAAAAACCTTTGAAAAGTTCAAAGAGTTTAAGAATGAAGTGGAGAATCAGTTGGGTAGGAAAATCAAGATGCTTCGGTCAGAACGAGGAGGAGAGTACCTAAGTCTTGAGTTTCATGACTATCTAAAAATATGCGAAATTGTTTCGCAATTGACGCCTCCGAGAGCGCTATAGTTGAATGTTGTGGTTGAGAGACGTAATCGGACCTTGTTGGAAATGGTTCATTCTATGATGAGTTAGGCTTCATTGCTAACAACTTTCTGGGGGTATACCATAGAGACTGCCACCCATATCCTTAACTTAGTTCCCACCAAGAAGGTTACCAAGACACCTCACGAGATGTGGACAGGGAAAGCTCCCTCATTGACACATATCAAGGTTTGGGATTGTGAGGCTTTCGTAACATGAGAGACTCACGACAAGCTCGAACCTGATAGTGAGAAGTGTTATTTCATCGGCTATCCACAGAAGTCTTTTGGCTATCTCTTCTATAGACCGAGTGACAATGCTGTCTTCGTTGCTAGAAGAGGAGTTTTCCAAGAAAAAGAACTGATAAGTCAAGAGGATAGTGGGAGGCAAATTGATCTTGAAGAGATTCAAGAGAAAAGCGATGAAGGAATCTCTAACACTATCACTCAACCCGAGCAGGAAATTCCGATTGAACCCATTGATGAGTCCTTACCTCTCAGACATTCCAGTAGGGTTAGTGTTCAACCCCAATTTTATGGTTTTCATATTACTACTTAAAGGGATACATTTATTAGTGATGAAACACGAATAAATTTGGACGAACCTAGTAGCTACAAGGAAGCCATGGCAGGCCCGGAGTCTGCTAAATAGAAAGATGTGATGCACAGCGAGATTTAGTCCACGTACGAAAACCAAGTTTGGAATTTGGTTGAAAATGTACCAGGTTGTAAGACAGTCGGGTGTAAGTGGATCCTCAAGAAGAAGAAGGACATGGATGGGAAAGTGCACACTTATAAAGCACGATTGGTTGTGAAGAGCTTTACTCAAACTCTTGGAGTTTACTATGATGAGACCTTCTCACCACTTGCTAAAATAAAATCTATTAGGGTAATGCTTGCAATAGCTGCATTTCGTGAGTATGAAATATGGCAGATGGACGTGAAAACCACTTTTCTTAATGGAAAGTTGGCTGACGATGTTTACATGAATCAGCCAGAGGGTTTTGTGGATGCGAAGCATTGAAATATAGTGTACAAGCTTGAGAAATCCATTTATGGATTGAAACAAGCGTCTCACACATGAAATCTTTGTTTCGACAAGAAATTCAAAGAGTTTGGCTTTCTACGAAGTGAAGACGAATCTTGTGTATATGTCAAAGCTAGTGGGAGTATAGTAAGCTTTCTCGTGTTGTATGTCGATGACATACTACTCATAGGAAACGACGTCCCAACCTTGCAGGAGGTCAAGTCCTGGCTTGGGAAGTGTTTCGTTATGAAGGACCTCGGAGAGGCTGCTTATATTCTGGGAATAAGGGTGGTGAGAAACAGGGAAAACAGACTGATAGGACTCAGTCAGGATATATACTTGGATAAGGTACTAAATCGTTTTAGTATGGAAAATTCAAAGAAAGGGGAGTTGCCAATCCAAAGAAATACTAAGTTGAGTAAGACTCAGAGCCCGAGTATAGAGCCAGAGATAGCTGATATGAGCTGAGTACCTTACACTTCCGCATTCGGCTCTATCATGTACGCTATGACCTGTACCCCCGCTGATGTGACCTTCGCTTTGAGCATGGTAAGCAGATATCAAGGGAACCCTGGTAGAGCTCATTGGATTGTAGTTAAGAATATTCTTAAGTATCTACCAAGGACCAAGGAATGGTTTCCAGTCCTCGGTGTGAGTGATGACTTAAGGTTACGAGGGTACAGTGACGCTAGTTTTCAGAAGGATCGGGATAATTAATGATCGCGGTCAGGCTGGTTCTTTACCCTAAATGGAGGAGTAGTAACTTGGAAAAGTTCCAAGCAGGAGATTTTAGCTGATTCAACATGCGAATCAGAGTTCATTGCGGAAAGTGAAGCGTCAGAGGAGGCTATATGGTTAAAGAACTTCATTGGAGACCTTGGAGTTGTGCCATCCATAAAGGATCCAATAGGAATTTTCTGTGATAATGAAGGAGCAGTTGCCTTAACCAAGGAACCGAGAGATCATGATAGATCTCGACATAACGAAAAAAATTACCACTTTATTAAACATCGGGTAGAAGAAGGACTCCTCATTGTGAAGAGGGTATCGTCAGAAGAAAACCTAGCAGATCCCCTTACGAAGGGACTGAGTAGGGTCAAGCACTTGCAGCACGCTAGGAACATTGGGCTAAAGGATGATATAAGTTTAGATTAGATAGATAAGAAATATATAATAGATAATTTGTACTTTACATTTGATGAATAAATAAAGTTGTGTTATTTATGAGTAAAGCTACTATCCTATGTTGGTTATTTATCTATTGTTTCAATTTGCTT